AGTTTTGATGTAGTGTTTGAAATGATGCAAAAATCTGCATCGATTAGTTGCGTTTCGATCCATCTTTCTCAATATCGTTTCTTTTTTTTTCTATTAAAAATATGCTAAAATTTACGGAATAGTAGACAAGTTTTAATTTTAAAAAATTACAGTTATCAGATAAAAAAATATTACAAAAAATTCACTATATTTACTCCTATAAATATTAATAATTTGCTTTAATTTTTAATAAATATTATTTAATAATCAGCGTTAGATTTGCTTAATTTATTAAATATTTTAATAATTATATTTTTATTATTAGACTTTATATAGGAAAAAGAATATAACAAAGTACGTATTTATTATACTAAAATATTTCAAAATTAATTAATAAATAAATTACAAGAAAATAGATAGTAAATAATAAAATAAGCAAAAATAAAAAATAGAATCTTATATATAGTATAAGCTTAATTAGGAAAAGTAAACAAATTTTTTATTTTAATTATTTTTCTATTAAAAACAAGATTTATGTTAAATCAACATTTAAATATACAACAAATAAGAGAATATCACGCGAAAAATGATTAATAAAATTTAATTAATTATATCACTTGTTATAAAATTTGTTATAAAATATATTATACATTAAGCAATGTTTAATTAGTAGCATAATATTTTATTTAACTAGAACATTATTATAATTATTTTTAAGATCGATAACTCTTTAATGCTTCCACATTAAAAAAAACATGAAACATTTATAATGTGTTACTTTTCTCTTGAAAAAAATATAGAAAAATAAAAAAAAAATTAGGAATCATTTCTTCGTTTCCTTTTCTTTATGTTATATATAAATTTTTTTCTTCTATAAGTAGAAGAAATAAGATAAAAATACAAGAATAATCTCCAATAATCCCGTAGAGAAAGATGGATGTGAATGACCTGTACAAGGTAATAGGTCTATGTATTAAATATAATAGTAAAATATATTTATATATTATGTTTTTAAGAATATTATTATTTTAAATATTTACAGTTTAGAAAACATATAGATATTTTACATGTATTTGTATATTTACATATATAGTTAAATCATTGAGTTGTAACAATTTTACAAAAAGGAAAATAAAGAGAAAAACATTTTATATTTTTAACATTAAAACGATAAATTGCATGTAGTAAAATAATATTAATAGTGAATGCATGTATTTTCTTTCAGAAATAAAAATGTTTTATTAATATAAAATGAAAATTTTGCATTATAAAATTACATAAAATAAAATATCACTTACAGGATCGAAGAAAGATTGTTATTTATGTATATTTTTAAATTTCATGCTATCTTTTATAGTATTATAAATATCTTATATAGTGGAGTGTAGAAAATTCAATAGAGGATGTAGTAAATGGACTACATTAGAGATACAATTGATTTGGGTGCTGTAGTAGCATTGATAGTTGATTCAAGTAGTCCATTGAACAACGAATGAAATTGTAAAGCAACAGAATACCGCAGGAAATTTTATGAAACCTCTTTTAGCTTTTTATTTATAAAATTCATATAGGGAAAAATATATATAAATAAAATAAATAAAATACGGGAGAGTACGATAAGATCTTAAAATGAAATGTTTTTTTATTAAATTAATTTATTATGCTTAAAATATTCTTTTGCTAACATTTTAGATAAACGTGAAATTTATTAATAAGTTTCTAAAATGATTCTGCTGAATATAAAATAAGAATTTAAAAATTCTTAAGAGTTACTTTACTTAAATTTGAATTTTATTAATTGGATACGAAATTTCTACTAATTTTATTGCTTTTGATGATAACAAATTAAAGGAAACAAGATAACATTATCTTCAATGTAATTTCCATGCACAGAGGAAAATTATCTCAAATCTACTTAAGACATACAAAACAGATTTTTACAAAGATGCTACAAGTATTTCTACTAAAATTTACTAGTCTTTTCCAGTAAATTTCGAAAGTCATGACATCTCGGCATTTAAATTTGCATTAATATAGTAACGAAATTTTAAAATATAAATATGTAAAAGCTTCACTTAATTAAAATATAAATGTCAAATGAGAAGAAGGAAATTAAAGGATGTTTTAATTCATAATAACTGACTGAACTGAATTAGAATATGCATTAATAATTAGACATTCAGTGTTCAATTTCTAAACTATAAAATTATGTTTAACTTTTTAAACTATACTCCAATTATTAATATGAAGAGTTTATGAATAATTTGATTTCCGAATCGTTATAATTTAATACGAAATAAATTCTAATTTTTTTAATGTATCATTTATGTGGTTCATCTCTCTTCCAGTTCTTGAGCTCTTGTTAGAAAAAGTTTTGACTTTGTTCGATATGGAGAGCATCTAACACTCTTTCAATATTGGCAGAAGAAGTACTTTGTTCGTTATTTTTCTATCATTAATCATCATTTAGAATGTTTTGTAAATTAATAAAGGCGCTATTGGAACTATTTCGGAGCTGGCTGCACTCGAAATATTTTCGTAAAGCATAGATTAAGTAGCGAATGAAAAGCTTTTAAGAGAAGAAATAGAAGGAGTGAAAAAACAAAGAACAAACGTGCTGTAATTAATCTTATTGTAAGTAACTGCAATTTGTCGCTGAAGTAGCTATTTCCATCGTCCTTCAGCTTGTTTGATTGATTAGATAGATTTCCATTATTTATTTTCAGGGATGAGTTAAAGGACAAAGGAAGTCTCCGCCATTTACAGAAAGGCGAAGAAAAATACACACCTATAATTATAGGCCCAACGTACAAATCGATGTAATGACCAATAGGGAAGGCCTGTTATTTGCTAATGGCTGCAATCTAAAACAAGTGTCTTCAGCAGTATGGATCAGGAAAGTATTTTATTTTTCATGGAATTGGTTATGAAGCTAAAGGCATTCTTCTGTAGAACAGTAATCGTCGAAGGAACATTCAATAAAAACAATTTCTTTACAAAATTGATTACATTCGGCAAATAAAAATAAGTATATTTTATAATTTCGTACTATTAATGAGTTTCTATAGGCGACAAAATAACTTTTTTTCTAACATCTCAGTCAGTTTCGACTTGAGTAAAACATTGATCTTATCCATACTTGAATAATTCAACGACCAAATAAGATCAATTTTATTGGAGAAACAATTATTAATAATAAATGCTTATATAATTTTTATTTTATGTATTTCAATATATGATTAATGTAATAGCCTTTTAAATATTTTATTGGAAAATTATAAAAGCTTCGGTAAATAACAAAAGATTGATGATCATGCAGATGCTGGGAAATTTCGGATAGGAAAGACCAAAGTTCTTTCATTTCGTAGATAATTTAAGAATATTATATTAGCTCAGAATCTTTTTTCTTCTTATAACCTTTATTATGTATAGGATCTCATACATTATTCATAAACTTCCTAGATTTTTAAATCCAGACTGATATAATCAAACCCAGTTGGATTTATATAGACTAACATAAGAAATGCATCTATATAATTCCTAAATGTTAAATATATATGTACGCAACTAAGATTTTGCCATAAAAAAGAATTAATTTTAATTTTTTACTCTTAATTATGATAAATTTTCCGTAATTTTCTCTTAAAAACTGCTCTTTTTGTATAATTAATCTTGAGAATGTCAGAATAAAAAACAAAAACATTAAAATTAAAATCAGTGAAAATTTAAAAATACATATTACTAAGTTACATTTTATGGGGAAAAATAGAGAATATTCATGCAAATTTCCGCCAAAAATAATAATGAAAATAATATAAGTGTAATTTGAAATTTTCCGTAAAAAATGGCAACAATTTCGGTATTTTTCTAACAATGTTACACCAGGGTATGGGTAATGATAGTTAAATGCTTAACAGTTCTCCCAAAGGATCTTGAAAATGAATAAAATAAAAATCGAATTAAACTTGTTTCATGAGTGAAACTGGTTTTTTTTCTAATCGTTAAAAGATTTTTTATAATCAAACGTTTATTTTTTATTTACTTATTTTTTCCAGAATTTGCAATATCAATTTCCATGATAATTTATCATCTGCAAAAGTTAGAAAATGATATAAATTATTCCATAAAATTTTTAACGATTTTGATCAAATTCAATTAAATATTATTAAGAAATTCAATTATAAATAGTTAATAATTAATTCTTTTAAAAAACAACAAATAACTCTTTCGTAAATCAATAAAATTACATCTTTATTGCTTTTTACTTAAAAAGCAATAAAATTCTAATTTTACAAATTTTAAAAATAATTTAATGTTAATTAAATTATATATATTATATAAGAGTCCCTTTCGTAAGTATTATTAATAAATGTTATATTTTCAAGTTACATTTATGTTTATTTTTAAAATATTTTATTAAATTTTTCTTCTTCATCTTCTTCCTCGAATGTATACGTATAGTTTACATTTATTTTTCTTTTGTTTCTGAACTAAAATAAGATTCTGAGTATGGAAAAACAACGTAACTCGCATCTTTATCATTCAAAATATAAGTCAAACAATCGTAATAATAATAGTAACAATAATGATAAAGGTTATAAGTTTGTTTTCTTTTTTTATATTTGTTTATTTCCCTTTCTTTCGGTATTAGATATTCAAAGGCCAATAAAAATGTAGAAGCGAGGAAAATCCTTGTATATAAGAGCGAATACTGCTCATAGAAAGCAAGATAAACGTTGAATGCAATTGTTGGATAGTCTGTAGTACTTCTCTTGTCTACGACAATAAAGAAATAGCTAGAGAGAGTTGCTAGGAAATAAAATTGACGTACGAAGCGGAGAGGGCCTATAGCTACGAGACCTTCCAGTATCGAGTAGAGAACATCACTGGCAGTTCTGCTGCACACGCCACACGGACGAGCTTAATACATATAGAGGGCGCTCTAGACGGGACTGATCTGGTCGACCGTCGTGTATAATCGTGGCTTTCGCGAGCAGTCAGTCATCAGTCGCTGCCTAGCCACCTAGAAGTGAGGTGGAAGACTCCGACTACAATCTATGACTGGGCATGATACTTAGCGGGACTGGCATATACGCGATTGTGATTTCTTCTGTATGGCTATCTTGTTGTTAGACATTCGAATGTTTCGAACTTCGTACTTTACGAGGCTTTATGAACCTGTTTTAATCGTTAAATTTATATTGGAATAAGTAAAATATGGACAACGTTATTTACTAATGTCGACCAGAGTGGGCATGTGGGAGAGAAAAGATTTCTGGTCGTCGGAATCGGAGGTGGTCTCTTTGGCCGATACACAGCAAACGTGGTACACTAGAACGTTTGTAAATACATTCTGGATGGCATTACTTTTATGGATTCTTATATCTACTGTCGGTGGAGAAGACATTATGCCCGGTAAGTTATTTACTTTTTCTTCTGGTAGAGTGCTTTATTCGGTTTTTTTGCCTGTATTTGACAGGACCTATTTGCACTGAATAAACACACGCTGAAGGTTCTAGTAAGCTTTCGATATTCTGACCACGCATTGACGAACTAAATAGGCTATTTTGGAACTGATATCTTTTTGTTTTCTTATCTTCTATCTAAAATTTTCTTCCTTTAAGGAAGTATATCCGGATTTTATAAATATATAGATATATATTTTCTTTATTTTTTCCTGTTTTTTTCGTCTTATTTCGGGGAAGATTACGACTGTGATCTTAAGTAAAACCAAAGATATCTAACAAGCTACGTTGTGCCGGGATTGAAAAGAGAAGAGATGACCCTCGATTGGCCAACAGAGACAACGAAGTTCGGGCCATTCTCTGTAATGACAGACATAAATTTCTCAAGCTGGTATTTACTTTATTGTAACGTCAATTGTGGCTTGACCACAGTTAATTAATGTCCATAGTCGTAAACTTTCTTGAAAGTTAGAATCCCTCGTTGACCGATATTAACTCGCAGAATTACCTCGAACGGTATTTAAGTTCCCTGCGCTCATTTTTATATCTATAATATAAAAATAATGGCACGGAATGCACTTTAATAAGATCGCTAAGGACAAGAAGCGATCATTATTTATTATATAAAAGCTAGAAAACGTTGATAGCGCGTATTAATTATTAAATTAAAGTAAACATTAAGCAGAAATTCATATAGGTTACGTGAATGTTAGCGTTGACGAGAACATTTGCGGGTAGAGTTCTGAGCAGAAGCTAGAAATTGCTTTGTTGTTGGAGTCGTTCGAATGAAACGATGTTCATTCCTGAGGTTGAAAGCAATGTCCTCGTTCTGCCGCATATAATTAAAGTGGATCACGCAGTCCGTCTTCTGTCCGTTGACAGTGTTAATTTCGGGTTAGTTTCTGTATGGCAACATCTCCAAGTAACACTATTATAGCTGCCAATGAAATAAAAGGATAAGAGCGCATAAATCTGTCCAGTCTGCAGATAACTTCTTCCATAAAATACTATTCATTACAAAGCAGTTTGTTTTCGTTGTTTACTAGAAAATTTATTCCAATTGAATAATTTACAATACAATTCTTCCAGTACAATTTAAATACGTTCATTAAAGTAGCAGAATTTTTAAAATAAAATCATTTTATTTTATTTTTTATTTTTTGATAATTAAATGCGCGTCATTTTTTAAATTAATTTAGTGAATTTTTAATGAATAAAATATACGTCCTATTTAAATTATACCTATTATTTAGCTCATTAGTATAATGATATTTTATTTCTATATATATTTTTTCTCATTATTATAGTTTATAGCTTTAAATTTGGTAAAATAAATATTGTATTATATACAGATATATATTTTTCTAACCAGTATCAAGTTCTTATATTTCGCTATATTTTATGTAGTGGTGTCGCTTGATAAGGGCGACGGCTTCGCTATTCGAAAATGTACTTTTAAAAATAGAAACTATATTTGCCAAACAACTCGACATTACGAACTGAAAAGAGGAAGATAATTACTCGCTTTTCGTGTGACATGCTGGATTGAATAGAAGCATCGCGCAGTCACGATACGTGATACCCTTCGACTAAAAGGGATCCCAACACAAAAGAAACAGTTTGACAAATTTATGTCGCTCCACCCTTTGCGATGGATTTCCTCCCACTGTATGCCATCTCCATTCTCACTGTGACCTCGTTTGCCTTTGCTGTTGCAGCGAAATCGAAGTGTCTAGCTCACAACACAATGTTCAATTAACATGTGGTCGCAATTAAGAAAATTGTATCTCTTTCTCTACGTATTGCAGAGATTTGTTTATCGAATCTTAATGCATTAACGGTAAAATCATTTTCTGTAAAGGTATTTATGATAGAAGCAAATAAAAGTGGTTAATAAGCGTTGCTTACTCGCTGCAGTAAACACTTGAAAGTGCTTGGTGAGTATTTATTAATCAATATTTGCATTTAGATACGATCGTATAACACGTGTTTACTTAATAAGCTATTTACATCAAACAAGATTGTTTATTGAATAATAATTTATGAACATAAAGGGAAAAGAAAGCATATTTTTTACTACGTGTGAACTTTTTTTTCTCTTGTTTTCGACTACACGTTTACTTTTTATAATCAAATCCGGCGCGAAGAAAAAGAGATAAGTAAAATTTACAATAATAACCAAAATAAAAATGTTATTCTAGAAAAAATTTGAGGCTTCTTCTTTCAATGATGCTAAGTAAATAAGAGAAACTATAGCATGGCGTTCCAGTTGTAATGTGTTTCATATATATACAACTGGATAGAGACAGTATCATATTCTGAAACTCCAATTTCAATTAGTTTAGAAACATTCTATCGAAAACGTAATATGATGCGAGCTTAGTAAAGTTTACTTAGACTTTTAAAAGGAAAATAAAAGTTTGAAATAATACATTGAGTTTAAAATAATGTTTTATATCATTTCTACGACTAGAAAGAAAATTACATTTAAGAGGAGAGCGAGAGAGAGAAAAATCTAAATGCATCATTTATACTTGATTAAAATATTATGACTCGTTTATATTCATTTCAATTGTTCATTAAGTTAATAATGATTGAATGAAAATAATGAAGGAAAAAAAAATTAAGTTTGTAACAAACATTCAATAAATTTTGAATACATCGTTTCAATTATTTTCTATTCAATTTACATAATTACTAATTCACAAATGAGAAATTTTTCATTTATAATATTTAAAATGCTAAACACAAATTTAAACAATTGATTATATAAAAGAAAACATTTCTATAGTTAAAATTATATAATTCTACTTAAATGTGCATTTAAACAAACGATTTTTTAATGGAAGAAAGTCCAATTTTAACTACAAAAAAAGGAAAACGTTATCTAATTTTTTCTCTGTTTTCGCTAATTTTAAAGTGGCTTCATCGAATTCTGTGTTGTATAAAAGTCGAGAAATATTATTTTTAAGAATTGTTAATTTTTTTTAAATATAAGCTATTAAAGAGAGGGAGGAAAATATTAAAAAATATATTTCCATGAAAAATATATCAAAGCGTAATGTTATATTATATTACATAAAAGTAGTTTGATATATAAAATTACAATTCCGTTTCCTTTTCCTTTTATTTTACTTTATGAAAGATTTAATCTTACGAGAATCTTTTTACTGAAACGTGTGATTTTAGAAGTTATTTTAAACGATTCGTTAATATAAAAATACATTTATATTTTTCTAAGAATATAAAATAAAATTTCATTTCTCACTGCTAAAAAAAACTCCTCTCTCTTATACAAAATTATAAATTAAAAATTTCCTTAAAAATGATTACTTTTATTTGATTAAATAATATATTTTTATCATTTTTATGTAGCACAAAATATTTCAGATTTAAAAAAAATTGATATTCGTTATTATAAATGCAAAATTTTCACTAATATTTTCTGATCGTGCTGGTTAGAAATCTTTAATTTAACTATAAATTTGAATTAATTTTCTCGAGAAGATAGCGTGGGAGGTAGTAATTTGGAGACATAATCGATACGTTACTAGCTTCATTAGGACTAACATGGCCGGCGCCAAAACACTTTAGACTTACAAACCGTAGTTCACTAAACTTTGAACTTAGGTTCATCGATAAAGCTAACTCTCATTCACCAAATTTTTCTTACTCAAATTATTATTTATTCTTCTTACAAAACCAACTTTTCTTATTGAATCTGCAGAAACACTTAGATTTTATTACTATTACTATTATTTTTTTTTAACTGAAATTCTTCTTATTTTTAGACTCTATATCAGTTGATATAGTATAAATTTAAATTAGTTTTTTCCTGAATATTTTATATAAAAATATTTTATGCCGATATCTTGAGAATACTTCAAACTTTTAACTTAAAAATTTACTAGGAAAATTTAATAATATGACATTTATAATGTTTGATAAACAATTTTATTTTCTCTGAAATTAGTTTATATTTTGAAAGATTCTTTTTAAATAATATATATATTTATTATTATTTTTACTAGAAAATTTATGTTAATTAGTACTTTTGAATATATTACAATTTTATGTAAAATGTATTATTACAAACATTTGACTTAGATGAGTATATAAATTTTTATATATTTAATATAATTTCTTTTCACTCATGAATTTAAAATATCACAAAAATAAAATTTTAAATTTAAAATAAACAGAATATAGTGTATCGAAATGGGATTCAACATACTTTACCTTAGCTTCGAATATCAGGATGAAGGAAGAAAATAAATACAGTTTACTTCTATTTGTAGTTTCTTTTAAAGTAAATTTTTGTTTATGTTTCTTAAATGAAACTTTATTAATTTTAAATGATAAAAAATATTTTTACAAATTTTAATCGAAGTTTATAAATAATTAAACTTCATATTTTCACGTTTAAAAATAAAAGGGGGAAAAATAAAAAAAGATTACAGATCATCAGCAAACATGATTAATGTTTAATGAAGCCATTTACCGTATAAATTGATAAAAACCGTTATTATATAGGAATTACAGACCGTTACAACTTCATAAACTTCCATTACAAAGAAACTTTGAGCGTATTTGACTGTAATTATATCACTTACTTCTAAAAGTAACGTTACATTTTATCAGTATTACGGCCCTCCTTAATGACAACAGGTATAATCGCTGGAAAATTTCATTCCGAAAATCAAGGTTATATAGTCTCCATTACTTCGTCCACTAACTCTATCTAAACAGTCAGTCTTCTTAATGAAGTGCGAAAAGCGTAAACTATCACATCTCGAGTAAATGTTACATCAAAACGAAGGTCGGGCATTTTCCTTATAACACTACCTTAGCTTTTATTACTTAGTTTTATGAGTAGTTTGAAACGNAAAAAAAAAAAAAAAAAAAACTTCATTTATAAGAAATTACGAATAAAATTTTAATATCGATTTA